TCATAGTCTTTGAGGTTTTGTGTTCTCCCTATAACTGGGCTGAACCCTGAATTTTCTGGTTCCCCCCAGTATTTGGCTAGAGCCCTCCAAAAGCCAACATTTCTAATTTTCTCCCACTCTCTTGACTTGGAATTTCTATGGAACTAAAATTGCTCTTTCCCAGAAACCACGGAAGCTAAATCTGGGCTATTTGATAAGGCCTTCAGAGAAGTCACCGCAACAGCTTATGGGTGGGGGCAATCTTCGTGCCTTTTGCAATGCGGCCACTCAGAAACATCATTAGAAACATTCACATCACAAACCTGAAAATCTGACAGATCACCACTGCCTGCCCGGGCTCCCGTCTGATGATTCTCGTGACCCAACATCCAGAACTCTTCTCAATGGGCTGCTCTCCGAACTCAGAAACCAGTTTTATAGTTTGAACTATCAACCTTTGTTCACCTTTTATTTCTATAGAAGTAGCTCTCATTTAATTACCTGATTTGCTCACGTCACAGAGAAGCTCATTTAGGCAGAAGCCCTCCTACAAGTACCACCTTTTGAAACAAAACATCTCGTGTTCATCCTGTCCTAGGTAATCACGAGGACATGTGATTGCTAATCCATCATGTGTGCCTATGTATGTTAAGTTCAAGAATTATAACCCATTTCAGTTATTTAATTGGCTACCTCTTGGCCCCTGAGAACTTTGCAGTCCTTAACTATTGCTCTTTTTACAGTCCTCATATCAAACTTCTCCGGTGTGTTACATATTTTCTAGGGCTTTACACTCATCTGCAGCTACTCAGATGCCAAATGGTATCCATCAGGATCAAACAACTGGATGAAACCAACAATAACCACAGAAGTGATGAAGATGTTGATTATATCTTGGCCTGATGATGCAACTGGACGGAAACATCAACTGTGCGATTCCCTAGCCTGACTGTATCAGTAGTGGTGACACGGAATAACACCATAGTGGTTGAGAATTCTCAGCCTATGGAAAGAATGACCAAAAGGGGGGAATTGTTAAAATAAGAAAGAGACCAGTCTTGAAAAGTCCCTGAATTACAATGGGGCGCTGGGTGGCTCAGTGGTTAAGCGTCTGCCTTCGGCTCAGGTCTTGATCCTAGGGTCCTGGGATTGAGCCCCAGGTTGGGCTCCCCGCTCAGTGGGGAGCCTGCTTCTCCTTCTGCCTGCCACTCACCCTGCTTGTGTTCTCTCTGTCATGTAAATAAATAAAATCTTAAAAAAAAAAAAAAGAAAGAAAAAGAAAATGCCCTGAATTGCAGTTTAAAACCAATTTAGTCATACAAACAAAGCTTAATTTAGCTTATTCTGCAAGACTAATTTGACCTGGGTCATTTCTTGCTTATACCTCTGAAAATTATATGCAAAACGTGAACTGCCTCCCAAGGTCGGTATGAGGCAACTACTGACCAATTCATGATCATTTAAGGACATGCCACGATTATAACCAATCCCTCTGAAAAACAGACACTGCTCTCTCATTATATAAGCTGCTTTATAACAATAGAATTCCAAACCACGTTCCAGGTTTTGGTTCACTGAGTGCTCCTGGTTCATGGTCTTTTTGGTGTGTGTTCCATCAACTTTTACTAACTATTCCTTGGGCAATTCGTTGGTTTTGCTTCTGCTATTTCTGAACTTTTGACACCTCAACGTCGCTGGAAGATACACAGGACCACAAGGAAGGCATGAGAAAGAACTGAATTCTGCCAACAATCAGTGCTCTTGGAAAAGAACCCTGAGCCCCAAATGACAACGGCTGGTCAAGACCTTGATCTTCAGCCCAGCAAGGTGGAAAGCAGAGAGGTCGGCCACCTCATGCCAAATTTCTGATGTACAGAAACTGAGGTTAATAAATGTGTTGCTTCGAGACACTTAAAAAAGTTAAAAGAATGCTGAGAGGTCCTAGGCTGGCTCATGAAAGATGTTTCTAGCTCTGTCACTAACCCATCCTATGATTGTGCCATGTCACCTAGGCCCTGAATCTCACCTCCCACCTATCAGTTGGGGAGGGCTGTATTAATATGTACTTGCTAGAGTAGTAGGAAGAGCAAAAGAAGATGTGTTTGAAAGTACTTTGCATAACATATGGCATTGTGAAATTGTGAGTTTCTACAGTAAACCAGCTAGCTCTCCACCAAAATCATTGTGTTGATATGAATTTTGCATTTTTCTTTCCACATAGCTTCCATTTTAATTGAGCATACAATTAGATAAATACTTATCTATGAAATATCTCCTTGTGAAAAAGCAACATAAAGGAAATTTTTAAATCTAGAAAGATGATGTATTTTCTGAGGAGGTTATTCCTCCCTCAACACACATCCACAAGCTCGAAATGTATTAGCCTCCCTCTTCTCCTTTGGGAACAGCGTCCGGCTGGAAACTGGTCACCCACACTCGTGGCCGTAGCACACACAAGGCCATGGAATGGCTCCCCTCCTCACACCTCCTAAAAAACAATGTCCCTCTGACGCTTGTGATCTCATCGGACCCTCTTTGCCTGAGCCAGGACAGAGGAAATGACACTTTAAACGGTTGGCCCGGGGACCACAGCTCCAATCAAGAGTAAAGTCATCTTACTGCGAGCTGGGTGTCTGTCCCCTGATCCCACACCCGTCTAGACTGGCAGGGGGCAGGGAGAAGAGAGGACACTGCCTGCTTGTTCTGTGCCCGGGGTGACATCAGATTTGCCAACCCTCTCCCGACATTCCGTTCACGTGCCCTTGCGGTGCCAAAGTCCCAGGGCCAGGCTGGAATTCGGGACACATCATGCAGGCGGTGTGTGGGTTTCTGGACTTGTTTGCTTTTAGTTAGACAAATGCGCTTGGCTTCAGAAACTAGGTCCAGGGTGATCAATAATCTGAAGTGTCACAACTTGAGAAAAATTTCACATTCATTGTATTTGAATGCGTTCAATGGCATTCACGGGAATCACCCCCACCATTCCTCAAAATTATCCCTCCTCGATCACACCAGATCATTAAGGCGAACAGGAGACCTCATTCTCTTCTCATCTAAAGCCTGAATTCTAGCTTCAACATGCAAAATAAATTAAAAAAAATTTAAAAAGGGAGAACTGATAGAATTGCACAGATGAAATTGAAAAACATAGAGGCAGAAAATGGAATTCGAAGTACAACTTCTTTATACACATCAGAAATCCATTCAATAACTCCATTATTTACAGCCTCCTTTCTTGTTTTTGAAACTGCCAGTGGACTGATTTATTTAATGATCAGCCACAAATACACATTATAGCTTAAGCTGGTGATGTTAAAAGGAAAGGATTTGGACTTAACAATCACTTTGAGTGTTGACTGTCAACATCAGAGGAGCCTGTGACAACGTACTCTGTATTGTAGAGAAGAGGCAAACATGTTGGCATCTGAACTAAGTACGTGGGCCCCCCTGCAATTCTCATTCCAGTGTTAGCAGGATACACACCACCTAGTAATTTCTTGACTAGCTTGCCCTCCACTTGCCCTTCTCCTCTACCTAAACCGGGGAGGGACTGGGGTTGACCTCAGGGGTGGCCATCTGCCCCAGGCAAGCTGTCAGACACGCAAAAAGCACAGAATCTCAATGGTCATTTGAAATAATGATTGTCTTACATATACCTCCACCAAAGCAGGTAATTGAGAGGGGAGTTCATTCCCTTGGTACTCACAGATACGGGAATGAAGACCAGATCCGAATTACTAACTAATGAAAGTGCTGGAAGTATTCTGAAGGAGTCTTACATTCTTTTTCTGGCTACCAGGGTGGTGAGACCCTTGACAAGACATGAACATAAAACCACTGCTTTCTCTATGAAATGCATCTAAGATCTATTCCATTTATCTCACAGGATTGTTCTCAAAAGTTCTTTAGAAAGTTTATGTAAAAACATAGAAATATATAGAAATATAGAAGTATAAATATAGAAAATATAGAAATATAGAAGTATAAATTGCTACTGAATTATTTGAAGAAACTCCTTTCTCAGAATGTAGAGTTGGATACTATCGTTAGGGTCTAAAAAATAAATTTATTATCTAACAGATGAAACTAATTGAATTACAGAAAAACCTAATTATAATTCTTCAGATTCACTAGGCTCATAATTTACATGGCAATGAGCTTGTGGGTTGGGCACTGATTAAAATCACTGCTGTTTAAAATGGTTCATTCAATCATTCTTTGGGGATGCAAACTCAAGTTTAGCAAAGACACTTTAAAAATGTAATAATGTTGACATTCTAGGAAAGGATTAAGCAAATTAAGAAACCATAACTGAAAAATCTTTTAAAACGATCTTACTGATTTCCTCAAAACCGAATGACCAGAAAATGGAATTTGAATTATAAGTCAATCCTAAGTCTTCATCCCCAGTATCCTAATACAACCATATAATAATCAATAAAGAGCCGCCATCACCAGCAGATAGGAATGTGAGCTTTCAGCTTTGCAGAAACACAAGTTCTAGTTGGAAACCAACTTCTGGCATTCAGCATTTGGTGAGTCCCGCCTTGAATACTAATCAAATGGAAATAACCTTAAGTTAACACTAATGTAAATCCACTAACATTCTTAACGAGGAAGTACATTTCTCCAACAGACTTGTGGAAGATTAGAACCAACCATGGAGAGTATGTAGCCCAAACCTCAATTTCTAGAACTAATGGCTTTAATGCCTCGCAGCATTTTTTTATCAGAATGATCAAAGACCTAAATTATTGGTTATTTCTCTGGATAATGATCAGTGCCTGTGCACAGAGCGTGTGGGATATCCCACATACAACAAAAATGTGTGCAACAAGGGAAGGCGTTATATTTCCTCTTATTTAAGAAACAAGGTGGTGAGAGTTATTTCCATATTGGTATCGCAGATTTGGGTGCTTTTTGCGAATTCTGAACCTGGGATTTAATAGTGCTTCGTGGGCTCCTGGAGGATAAACTTGAACGTGTCTAGAAACGTGCAGCACAACAGAAATTAAACACTTGCTTTCCTGCTCTGCATTTATTGGGGCTACAGAGACTCAAACAGCTATTTTCCTCTCAAATAATTCAGAAAAATATAATACAACAGCAATTTCTTAAATACATAACAAAACTTTCTGGATCATGAATCGACATGAGATGTAACAGCCTACAGGTATCGATTGGACAGCTTTATAAAATGTCACTCATCTACAGCATTATGAAATTGTCTTCAGAGCTACACACATATATATACATGGTTCTATATACATAAAGGCATCCATTCATGAACAGAAAGTCAAGCACTGTGTACAGAAGGGTAAAATAATACATAGAGTCTGAATAATCTTTAAGAGACAATTTGGGGTTCCAAGCAATAGTGATTTACATTCAAATAAACATGTAGATTTTCAAATCTAGATAGGTAAAATTTTCATGATGCAGGCTACAGGAAAATTCACACTGTGAATTATTTGTTCTTCAAAGGCCTCTTTATCAAAATAGAGATTTCAACGCCAGAGCAAACACCTTACATGAACAAACAGAATGCCTAGGACTCTAAAATTTGCTTCCATATGCCTTTCCCCCTCATCTCCCTACCTAGTAACCAGAGAAAAATTCCCAGAAGGAGCAGCAGCGCGATGTTGTGCCTTTATATCTGTTAGGGTTTCTGGATGGGGGGTTATTTACATCCAGATTAGAATTTGGTGAAGGAGTTTTGATTTCTATTTTAAATAGACTATACTACTCCAAACAGAAATTTTTTTTTGCCACGACATCCAAACATGATCATGTAGGCCTGTATTTCTTCCTAGTATAGAAAGAGGATCACTAGGAGAATATAGGGCTGACAGAGGAAGGAGGCAGGTTAAACTCTCTCACTGGCCAATTATCCCAAATGAGAGCATCTATCTCTGTTATTGACGTTGTCAGTTCTCTCCTTTATAAACAAAGTTTCTAGCTCGGCTTACACCTTGCCCTTTGAGGCACCAGAGATCTATCTCAGTCTAACCCACCAGCCTATCCCTGTTGATTCTGACGGTCTTACACGGGCCAATTCACGTAGCCACATAAGGAAGAAGTCACGATTTTCCAGGCACTTTTCGACATTTAAAAACTTAAATCCGGTTGTTAAAAAATCTGTTTCACAAACAACCCCCACTCCCTGTGCTCTATGAAAAAGTAGCTGATTTTGTTACAGGATCTCTGTGAGAAGACAAATTCCTTCAGTTTGGCCAAGGAAACAGTATGGATGTTTTCTCCTACTGTTACTCCAAATTTGGGAGCGCTGCCTCTGATAACATAGGATGTTAGGTTATTCGAAATCAGCCCCTGTTTAAAGATTCTTTGTAGACTCGAGCTTAGAGAGTTCACTCGTGCTGGAGGACGTTGCCACGACAGACATACTTGATACAAAAATGCAATTTCATTGAGTTCCTGTGATCCCCTGAGCAGTTATAAATGCCCTTTGCTATAATGAGGCAGTGTTAAGACAAAGCAAATTATTCAAATACATGGACACTTGTCTTTCTACTAATATGAAATACATTGATAGAAGAGGGTACTCTTATTCTGAAGCGTTCAGAGTTTCAAAGGAAAATAAAGACACTTAATATTGAGACATTTCCAAAAAATGATTAAAAATGTTTTTGGTTAGTTGCCATTCAAAAGTTTTCCCAGAGTTCTCATCTATGTTTTATACAAATGGTAAATAAAAATGTACACGACCGAGAGACGTACTACACACAAATCAGGTATCGATATGTACGTGTGAACTAAAGTTCCTTAAATATACACACCCCCACTCAGGATACATTCCATTACATCGGCAAAGCATTGTTCTTTAATAATAGTCCAAGATAGCAGCAGTTTAATAACTAGTTACCCAGTTACCTTGGGGAAGTACGATGGGTTCTGACAGTCCCTCGTGGCGGTGTCGCCAGCTTCAAGGAGAGCTCTCTACAAGCATCTTACAAATTCCCATGAAGCACCAGGCTATGTTGCTAAGGGCAATTAGGTAATCCTGTCAATGGAGAAAAGGTTATTATCTTTTCAAAACCCGTGTATTCAAAAATCTGATAACAGGGAAAAAGAAGTTGCCATAAGGCGATACCAACCCAAAGCATTTATGATACAGAAAGCATTTACATTTTATTTCTTGCATTTTTTTTTTTATTTTTTTTTCCATTTCTTGTACACACAGGAAGTGTCTGCATTGCCCCACCAGACGCTGGAAGAGCAATACGAAACTGCGGAGAAGAGAGTGGCTCTGAGCTGTGTCTGAAGGGATGTAAGCAACCAGATTATCGGTGTTTTTACAAAACTGAGACGGCATGACATTGAACCAGGCGTTGTTTTAAAAGAGTTAGGTTTATGAGTCTATACCATTGAGTGAGTTACGAACTTGCAACCAAAATTTACATATATAATATGCAAAAGAACAAACCCTTCAGGTTGACTTATAATCAATCACATTAGTCCCAGAAGGAAAGACAGAATGGCTTTGAGGAAACATTTATACTCATGTACCACTGGATAGACTCATGCATGCCCAACGGATGGAAATTCTAGGCAGGCAGCAGCTTATCGGACTGGCGTACACGTGGACTTGGATACGCAATCCTGGTGTGTACTTTTAGGGCCAACTCTGTGTGGGGTGCATGGACACAGAGCTCAGGAAAGGTCTCTGTTACCTATGATAAAGGGTACCCTTGACCCTCGGCCACTTGGCCCATATTGCCTATAAACCAATCCTGGAGACCACAGCTACTGGCTATAGGAGGACAGTTGATCACCTTTACCAAGGTGCACTGGCCAAGGGAGAGCTACTGGATCAGACCACACTGTTTCAGTGGCTGCAACCCCTTCTCTTGGAAGCGACAACTCCCTCTGCACAGCACTTTCTCCTGCTTGAAGCGGAGATCACACGGGAAGAAACCTATTGTGTTTCTGCCAAGTCACTGTGGGAATGCCGGGAACAGCACCCCCGGGAGCCCGCAGAGGCAGAACCAACAGACCCACTCCTGCTGCTTAGCTCTTACGACAACTTCCCCTTTAATAGTGTTATCCTTTCCCTCTTACGGGGGGCCGGGTTTCTCCCATATTTCTCATGGGGGTCAAATCAACATAGAACAGATTCTAGCTGATGAGTTACGATGTGTGTTGCCAACCGCGACAACACACTGATGATACTGAGCATTCACTCGGGCTCTTCGAATTTGGCTGGAAGTTGAACAGTCCAGTGGGATCCTGCGGAAGATAAAGTGATGGTGGGTCAGCTCCTTCTCAGCAGCCCCAAAGCTTCCCGACATGCTCCAGAGACGCCGGCCGAGACTGCAGAACCCGGGTCCTTCTCTTCAGACAGGCTTTTCTGATGCCTTTTCTGATGCCATAGGCAGGCAGTTCAAAGTCTGGACACAGAGGCACTTCCAAAGTTTGGCAAGGAGGGGGCAGGTTCACTAAGTGGGGCTCTATCTCCGTGCTTCTCATTATAACCCCAGACGTCCGTGGCACGTGCACAGAGTGGAGACCTTTAGGTTGTGGAGGGGTCGTGCTTTTTCTTCTTGCCCCGACAGGACTTGCAGACACAGCAGATTATACACGGGGAAGCCAGGAGCAGCAAGGGTGAAGTCACCAGGGCAATGATGCCCAGTCCCACCAGGATCCCCACCACCTGGAAATTCGGAAGAAAAGCTTAGTTCAGTGCTTCAGTCTCCCTAGATGCGCACTGAACCGTCCACTACAGACGGAATGCTTATCTCCTCCCCCACCCCGCAAAAATTCCCATGTTGAAACCTTAATGTCCAACATAATGGTATTTGGAAATGAAGTCCTTTGGGAGGTAATTAGGACTGGAGGGTGGAGCCCTCACGGCAGGACTAGTGTGCCCTTATAAAAAGAGATTATCAGAGCACTTGCTTCCCCCCACCTCCCGGCAGGGGGCACCATGTGAGGACGCAGTGACAAGAAGGCCATCTGCAGACCAGGAAGAGGGTCCTTGCCAGAACCCAACCATTCTGGCACCTTCAACTCGGGCTTCTTATCTCCAGAACTGGGATAAATACGTGTCTATTTTTCAAACCACCCAGTTTTATGGTAATTTATCCTAGCAGCCTGAATGAAGACACCACCTCAGGCATATGAAAGAGTCACAGTTATGGGATCTTTCAGCCAGTGTCTGCATGATCTGAACCGGGTATGAGCCAGGGAGGCAGCAAGGACTAGATCCGAGGTGAGAAGAAGAAACAGGACGCTAACCCGAGCTCTGGCACAGGCTCTGTGTCACCCCGAGTTGTCGGCATTCTCCCTACCCGAGTCTCCTTGGCAGCCTCATAGGGATGCTAATATGATTCCGAGGCTATTAACACTGACGCCCTTAAAAGGAACGTAGTCTTTAATAAATATCAAACACTATTAAAAATAAACCAGGACTCCCTCTGAACCTCCCAGAGAAACCCACAATGGCGTGTGCAGAGGGATCGAAGCTCCAGCAGGGGCCCACAGGATTTTAGAGAACTGCCTTTTACAAGAAATATGACTTACAGGGCTTTAGGAAAGTCATTCTATCCTTTTTTCAAGAGGAGAGAATATCTGCCTGGATTCTGCAGGTCACTGTTAATTACTGGGCTGCTATGGGGCCTTGCCCCTCACCCTACCCTCAAGGGGATCGTGCTCCTGAACTAGCTTCAGGCAGTTGCTGACCTGGCCCAGAGCTCCGCAGAACCTCCCAGGCTGGGATAGGTAAGCAGAGAACAGGGTGGGGAGGAGGACTGGATGGGCTTTTTAAGCCATCCCGAGTCCCATACAGCTCCTGCTCCCTTAAAGGTCAGGGTACCTGCGTTCGGTTCCACATCACTGAGGCTCTCGAGTGGCCCAGCTTGTTCCTGCATGGCCCTTTGTCATAATGTCTGAGGAAAATGTCATTCTGAAAAACAAAGAGAGAGGTTTCAGTAAACACGCTCTTTTGAACAGAGGACTAAACACTAATCACATCAGATGGCCATGGTGGAAAGCAAAGGCTCTTTCTGGGAATACAAATGGTGGCCTCTGGGAATTCCAAGGCCACGATCTCTAGAATATGTCTCAGTACTTTCACAAATCACGGAGTGAAAACAGATCCTAATCATCGAGACCCTTGACTGAGTCTAGAAAGGATTAGAGTCCTGACCAACCATCTTTGAAAGGTGGCCCTAGCACAGGTGTGACATGGAATGGAGATTTCGAGTGGAGAGTATGTGGGAAAAAATGCCAGCGGCTGAGAAGGGCAACACAGACATGGGGTCCAAGGAAGGTTACTAACTCAATGGGAGAAGAAGGAGAAGAAATCACAGATGAGAGGAAAGCCCCCAGAGTCAGGAGCCTGGTCGAAAGAAATGACAACAGAGAGATGAACTTTGTTGGGAAGATGATGGCCACACTTTGGACAGTTAAACTCAAGAGATACTCAAGCCGTATTGTTCAAAAGGCAGCTGATTACACAGATGAGAATTTGGGGGAAAAGATGGGAATCAGCGTACATGGGGTGGAGAAAAACCACAGAAGTAGATGAGATCACCCAGGGAGAGAGTGTAGACAGGCAGGCAAAGAGGATGTAAGGAGGGAGCGCCTGGGCGCCTCGGTTAAGCATCTGAGTTTGGCTCAGGTCATGATCTCGGAGTTTTGAGATAGAGCCCCATGCCCAGTGCAGAGCCTGCTTAAGATTCTTTCTCTCCCTCTTCCTCTGCCCCTCCCCCTTCTGGCTCTCTCACTCTAAAAAAAAAAAAAAAGAAAAGAAAAGAAAGAAAAACAAGAATGAGTCAAGGAGCACCTGGAAAGGAAACAGAAGTGGCCAGAAATGTAGAAGGGAAATCAGAAGAGATATCATCACTGAAGCAGAGGCGGTCAAGACGTCAAAGGCAGTGGAGACTCTAGGTTAGAGGAGGACTGAAACATCCACTGAATTTTACCCAAAAGACAGTACTCAAAGCCTTGGAAAAACACAGTCAAGGCTGTGACAATGTGGCAGGCTAAGTGCATTTCAAAGGACTGGAGGTAAGTATCAAGGATGAGAGGCAATTATGCTGTTTTGAGCTTGGCTTCCAAGAGAGGGAGAGAGAAAGATAATGGTAGTAAGGGAGACATGCAGGCTTGAGAAAAATGGGACTCGTTTTTAAGTGGGACACAGCTGAGCACATAGAGATGTTAGTAGAAATTGAAATCACAGGAGAGAGAAGAGATAATGGAAAGGGACAAGTGTCTGAGGTCCCCAGAGCAGATTAAGAACACTTCGTCCTCTGAACCAGCAGGGATGAGGACCAAGGCAGCAGCAAACTCAACATCCCAGTAAAACTCAAAAATCACTCAGTTTGGGCATCTGTCTCAGGCTTGGCTCTTGGACAATCATCCTACTCCCAGACCCAGGCTCTGAAACTTTGCTATAAACAAAGATCAACACCACCATCTGACACAGAACACTTGTCGAGAGAAAAACATCATTACCAACAAGCCAGTACCCCTGGCGAAAACCAAGAAAATCAGATCTCAGAAAACAATGACCAGAAAAAGATGCTTCAGTATTTGAAGTCTGTGTATCCAGGCTTTTAACATCTGTGCCATTTCAACTTGAGCACCGGAACAGTCCAAGTAACAGAACAGTGTGTTCCTTGCAACACCATACCCCAAACATATTTCAGCCAAAGGATGGGGGGATCTGGCACACATCTTTATTCCCTTACATTCTTGCTTCTTAAAAAGAACCTCATGGGCTCAGCCTCCTTGGGATATGAACCCAATTAATGTTCTGGTTAAACCTGAAGGCAAACAGAAAAGATGTCTTTCTTTTGTAAAAACACGAGGGGTTTTCACAGTCAGTAAAAACCTCGCCCAGAGTATCACACGCTTGGAATCATAATGGGTCTCAAATATCACACATACATTCAAGGGCTTAGGATCAATGGAATTAACCAAATAAATAAATAAATAAATAAATAAAAACACTGCCGAGATTCCACAGCCTAAAATGTCAGTTTTCTTTCCCCTAATTTATACCTCAGCTTGAAACGCCAAGATCGGGCTGATTAAAATTCTTCTACACAGATATCATCTGAAACAACTTGTCTAATTTTCACTTAAAAATCAGGCCCGTGGCAGCCAGCATGCATCCCATAATAGCCGCACACAGACTCACTAACCATATGATACTAAAGGGTCACCAGAGCCACTTATCAGACTGAAACCAACCAGGCAACTGAAACGAAAAATAGCGCGGGGCGCCTGGATGGCTCAGGTGGTTGGGTGTTCGGCTCTTGATTCCGGCTCAGGCTGTGACCTCAAAGTCATGTGACCGAGCCCCGCATCAGGCTCCATGCTCAGTGTGGAGTCTGCTTGAGATTCTCTCTCTTCTCCTACCCTTCCCCCAACTTGCGCTCGCTTGCTCTCATTCTCTCTCTAAAATAAATAAATAAATCTTGTAAATAAATAAATAAATAAATAAATAATTGAGAAAAGAAGGTCCACCCCACCATGACAGAGAGCTCACTCTGGTATGGACGTATTTCATTGGTCCACATTGCCCGAATAGGAACTATCTCTTCTTATTTGGGGTAGCACACACGTGCTAGAAGAAACACCAGAATTGAAGGGAGATCTGCTCAGCCATCCTTCACAACACCTTTTACCTCTGAGGGTACCGTGAGCCTCGGCTCGGGACTGCCTGAGCCGCACCTGACCTGGGCCAGATGTGCTTCACCAATGGTGAGGGGGGAAAGAGTCACTGAGGCAGACCCCGTTATCCGGGAATGGAGCCCTAACAAAACCAGAGCAAGACCACAGTCATGCCAATGAATGGTTATTTAAGACATCCCCTTGATTTGAGTGGCTTTCTTCTTTAAATTCAAAAAGAGGAAGAGAACCAAATTATGGTAGGCGGAAAAACTACTCCCCTACTGATGCCCGTGGCCCACTCCCCAGAATTTGAGAATTTGTTGGCTTTCGTGGAAAAAGGGACTTTACACATGTGATTAAAGTAAGAGCGTGAGATGGTGGAGAACAGCCTGTATCATCCAGATGTGACCAGTCTAATCACTCTTTCATCCAGATGTGGCCAATCTCATCAGAGGGTCCTTAAGGGCAGAGCAGCTTTCCCAGCTGTGGTCAGAGGGAGCTGCGACAAAAGAAGAAGGGGCAGAGAGACGTGATGTGGCTGGTTTCACAGGTGGAGAAAGGGGCCACAAGCCAATGAATGTGGGCAGCTTCTAGAAGCTACAAAACCCAGAAATGGATTCTCCCCTGGAATCCAGAATAAATGCAGCCCTGAGGACACCTTGATTTTAGTCCAGTGAGACCCACATCAGATTTCCAGAGGATAGAACTAAAGACAAAAAAAAATCTCTGTTGTTTTAAGCCACTACGTATGTGGTGATTTGTGACAGCAGCAAAATAAATGAATACACTGACGGCTCTCTACGTGATAAGAGGAGACAGTGCCCCCAACGCAGAAGCTGTCCCTACAACGAAAGCTTGCCTTTAAAGCTAAGCTGACACAGTGAAGGGACTCAAAGGGACATTTGCTAGACATTTAAGTAGCAGCCTCAGAAAGAATCCTTAAGAAAAATAACCTTCTTTTGCAGGATAAACACAGATTCAAGATTTTAAAAGGAAAGCCTGGAGGATCCGGACGGGTGCACAGATATGATGAAGAGAGAGACCACAGAAGACGCTTCCAGGTGGCACTTACGTCCAGGTTCTGGAGACAGTACCAGCAAAACGTGTGTTTGCAATTCTTGCACATCATCTGGGCACAGCCCTCGTTGCGTTCGATGTAAACCCGACAGACGGGGCACTGCTTGATGGGGGCTTCTGCGTCTGTCCCAAAGAGGGCCCTAGAAACAAAATGGATGAGAAATTATGGATGGGGGGGTCAAGAATGCTGCTAGAACTACAAGGGAGTCCACTAACCAGGGCTGGGGAAGAGTGGGCCGAGTGTCATTAATTCAACAGGTCACTAGAGCCGTTCTAGATTCCACTTTACGCACCAACTGAATTCCTAGGGTTCCTGATGGGTGAGGTAGTGGCCTCTCCCTCATCTGAGTTTAATTCACTTCCATGGAAGAGGGTGGGGGTAAAAATAGGAGGGACACAGATTATTAGTCGTACGGATAACTCAAAACAAAAAAGAACCTTAATTTCCATATCTTTGGCTAGGAGTCATGCTATAATTGTACTTTCCACACCTGACTTAGTTCCTTATTTGGCCGAGTTAGTATTTCATTCCCTGAGCATGCACTGTCTAAAGCAAAAGCACAAGCGTTCTGCTACACAACAGAAAAACCAGTTCTGGATCTGACATGGCATACACAAATCTTCTTGGCGATCTGTTCTGATAAAGAAACAGAACAGATCGCAGGAGGCAAGAATCAATACCTGAAAATCAACGCCCAGCCTCATCAAAGAGCCTTGCTCCCGACGGATGCCTAGGTCAGCGCAGGCTCACAGCCTTAAGAGGCACGGAAAATAAGTGGACCACATTGGGGGTGCGGTTAGGGGAGCCACAGCGCCGTGCTGCACATTAGCTAGCGTTCATCAGAACCAGCCCCCGGTTCACGGAGACATCAAGTTCACAAAGCGTCCTTGGATCCAGGATCGGATTTGGTACTCAGAGTAACCGTATTATAGCAGTGGGACAGTTACCATTTTAATTCTTTCCCCCACCACCTTTTTTTTTCCCCCCAAATAGAGAAACAGACTCAGAGGCTGAGTGACTTCCATGAGGTCCCGCCGATACCAAGTGACCATGTCAGAACTCAACCTCTTAGGGTGCCCGGGTGGCTCAGCCAGCTGGGCGTCTGCCTTCAGCTCGGGTCATGATCCCAGAGTCTGGGGATAAAGCCCCACATTGGCTCTCTGCTCAGTGGAGGGTCTGCTTCTCCCTCTGACTTCCCCCACCCCCACCATGCTCTTTCTTAAATAAATAAAATCTTAAAAAATAAAAATAAAAGATAGAACCCAACCCCTCTCTGCTCTGGGATCTTCCCCTTGTCCCATGATGCCCGCAGACCTATCCGCCACGCGCAGAGGTTACTGGCTAAGAAGGCGTGTGCCTGCCCCGGGCACTAGGTCTATTTTTCCTCTTGGTTTGTTTGGTCCCAGATTCAAAAACAGTATCCTAGCCAGGTAGCACTCTCGTTCCTGAAGAATGGTGCCACACTCTCTGAGGGTGTGGGGGTGAGCCAGCCAACTGGACTAGGCACACCAGTGCCTCTGTTCTCACTGATGCAGAACAGCCAGAGCCTCCAGCAAAGCCAGGGATCGTGCACAAAGGTCTCTCGCTCTGGGCCCTTCTGCTGCCGTAAAAACCCTTTGTACTGAAAGGTACAGATTTAACTGCTTCTCATTGTCACCGACTCTGAACTTGGGCACCATCTTTGCAGGGCACCACGTATAGGGGATGCAGCTCTTTTCCTCTAAGACCTGGGTACTGAGCATCGAGCCCCTGAAGGCCTGCCGCTTCTGCCGCTTCTGTTGTGCTCTCTCTGTAGGGCTGCCACGCCCCACAAGCTGCCACATGGTCAGGTCACAAAGTAATTTCCACATAGCTTTGCAGGCAGGAAGAAATCCACGGCAGGTGCTCGTGGCTTCTAAGCAAATAGCTGTGGACAAGCCATGCCTTGCTATTGAAAACCAGTGGGCTGTGGGCCTTCCAACCTGAAGAAAAATCAAAATGCATTCAGACCCTCATTTCAGCGGTATCTGGGAGAGTCTCCAGGGGAAAATACCTAAAATCTCCTTAGAAAGACTGTGTCGGTTACTCTTTGTTAACAACTTCCCAGTTCAGAGACGCTTCTCAGGGAAGTTCCACGGGGGAAAGAACCCATCTCTGAATTCCATCACAAGAGAACTCCTTCTCCAAGTGACCTATCTGGGGTGAATAATCACAAAGACCGTTTCTCCTTTCTTACCTGTGCTCTGTTGGCAGGACAATGGGCTGACTATCTCTACAGGAGACCTCTGCGTGCCAAGCATCCTTGCAACAGGAGCAGAACTTCAGGTGACAAGAAGGGCACTCCACCTGCACGGGCTGTCCTGGGTCACCGGAGGCAATAGGGCACACGGTCTGACAGTCTGCGACAGGACACCACGTTCGGTGGGGGTCCAGGTGAACTTCTAGAGCATAAACAAAGAAAATGTGACGGTCTATATGTCTTTCGTACGGGCCTAGACTTTCCCCCCTTCCTTCTTCTCTTTTATAGGCTAATATTTATGGAAGGTTAGTACAACCGAGGGCAGTGACTTCTACTCTTGGTCTTCATAATGGACCCAGACCTATGAGGTCACTCAGCTCTGCCATGTTTCTCAAAGTAGGTACTAGTGGAAGAGGCCACCACTGCCCTTACGAACAGATAGGAAGTGTTCTCACTAATCCAAATGGGCAAGTCTTCTGGAATACTTCTCACCTTTCAGCACTCAAAGTAGGCAAAAATCTTAAGTCCCTGCTACAACTATTTGGGGGTATTATCTTGGGAGGAAAACTGGACCTGAAGGACCTACAGAAGCAAAAGGAAAAAGAAATTCATGGGATTTTGTCCTTTCCGGGACTGAGAAATAAGCAGTGAGGTTTCTTCCTACCTTTTTTAGAGGGAACTGAAAGAACAAGGAAGAAATCAAATAGTTCAAGGACCAAACAGTGCCTGGTGTGGCTTAGCCAAGAAGTCAGATTAGCTGTCAATTTGGATATTCTGTTCTCCTACCATATGCTAGTTAGAGATATTTGTAAAAGACTCAGAAGATCCACAATCAAAAGGTTTCACAGACCATAAAATGATAGTCAGTTATAGACTATACCAACCACATCCAAGTGGCCTGTAGGAAGGAATATGGAGTTGGGGGTAAGCCGACTGTCATTCTATTCAAATGTTTACAAATCTTGTTTGGTTTTCCATTTTTCTATTCAATAACAGACCTCACATTCTTGTCTTACAATGTGACCTTTAAGGGAACATATCATGTAAAAATGATGTTATTGAGGAACAGAGTTGCCCTTTTTTCTTTGAACCAATGTATTTTGCAAATTTTAAACTGATGGATTCCAGTTTTAAATCTCCTAAGGATTATGATTCTTGGAAAATTCCACACAGGAGGCAAACAGACCCAAAGAGTGGTGCGAAAAGGAAATGAAGGCATTAAGTATGAGCTTAGTTTTAAAGGTAATAATTTTACAAATTCAGTATCAGGGGAAATAAGTCCAAAATGTTCCAGCAAACACTGTCTCCATTAATCTCTCATCTAGAAAAGACAGCAATCAGATCCATGCTTATTACACGTTTTCATTCAAAAAGAGAACACTTACACTTATTTTCTTATCTAATAATTCTGGGGAATGGGGTTGGAGAACGATGAGCCAAATAAAATCAGAAAAGGGAAGCCTATGATTCACAGGTGCTCAGACCCCAAGAGAGATGGACCCTTGAAAGAAATCTCTAAAAGTTTGAGAAAGGCTAGTTAGAAAATCAAGGGGACAGTGACACACACCTCTGCTCCAAGGTCCTGACCTTTTATTTCCACACATTTATATTTTTTTCCAAACTCATAACGGTTTCACAAACACTAAGTCCAAAGAAATGAAGGCTGGTGTATAAATTAGAGCTAAGGACTCACACATCACCTACCTTTTTAACCACCCATTCCAAATCACAGGACTTTTAATTTTTTTCTAAGATTTTATGTATTTATTTCACAGAGAGAGAGAGAGAGAGAGAGACAGCAAGAGAGGGAACACAAGCAGGGGGATGGGAGAGGGAGAAGCAGGTTTCCCTCTGGGCAGTGAGCCCCATGCAGGGCTGGATCCCAGGATCCTGGGATCATGACCTGAGCCAAAGGCTGACGTTTAACGACTGAGCCACCCACGTGCCCCCAAATCCCAGGTCTTTTAAAGGACTGACAATACGGAAAGGAAAGGAAAGACTCATATTACAGTTAAATTTGTAACATCCCTGCGGATCACCGTAAAAAAGATACAAGGATACAACTTGTCCTCATAATTCTAATCCAAATTATTTGGTAGGCATTCTGAACTGTTTGTTTGTACCAGCTCATTTTTCAGGTATCCGGGTTGCCACAATAAAAGCAGAAACAAATATGGGAGCAGTTACAAATTTTGATGAATCCCCATAAAGAAAAAAACCCTTAGGAAGCAAGGCAGCTGATGCACACTCCAGTGCAAAAAAGCAACGGAAGAGTCTGAGCTGCAGAAAGCAGCGATGCTCTGGACTTTCCTCCGCTTCGATAGAAAGGAATGATGAGGCGAAGGAGGTGATGGAAGGGGCAAAACGGAGACATTGCAGCCTTCTCCTTACTTCGTTAGAAGTCTTGGTCTTTAGGGACAGCTTACAGAGCTTAACCAATACCCGAAGTGGAGTTACCAGGAGACAGATTTCAACTCTATCCAGAACTGTTAGGGACTTCTCTAGCCACCTTTACGGTATCTGGTCAACACCTGTCCCAGCTTCTTTCCAACCTCCCGGCTGAGAACGATCAGGTCTCTATAGACACACAACACAGCGGACTTGCGCTCTCAGTCTTCCGCGCAGCCAGGGTGTGGTCATGTGACATGGTTCTGGCCAATGGGAGGTGAGGGAAGACCGCAAGGGGCTTCTGGGACTAGATCTCCTTCCGGATACTCGGGCAAGAATCTCCTTTCCGTCTGCGAGCCTGTGAACACGGCTGTGTGAAGCTGTGATGCCTGGGCCGCCACAACCCTGGGAACTCTAACGGGAAAATTACAGGAGTTGGAGAAGTTGAGCCGCTCCGTCAATCACACCCGCAACTGCCTACCTCTGGATTTCCTGTGCGCGAGGGAATTCAGTGCCTTCACTGGTTAAGGCTCTTATTAGCCCGGCATTCTGTTCCTTGCAGACGAAAGCATCTCAACCCATAAGGTTACCTCTAGCAATAGGGAGCAAATGCCCAGGTCAGACAAGGACTGCTCCTCCAGTGCGGCTGGTGAGTTTATAAAGGGGATTAAAGTACCATGTCCGAGACGACCTTTAAAGTATTTAAAGTGAGGCACGAGAAAATGTGTGTATGCAAATAGAAATAAAATATACACTACACACATCATCCTGTAGAAAACCTTATTTACCATAATAAAATTTTATTTTTATTATTTATTAACCTTTTTAAAAAATTAACACCCTGTGCCAGACCCATAAGGCTTTTGTGTAGGTTACTAGACAAATAATAGACATCCATATAGCTGAACACTATGTAGCTCTAAAATAAGGTGAACTGATGTGACAATATGGAAAGATCCCAAAGATATACTGCCAGTTCAAAAATGCAGATTGAGGAAGAGTATAAATGAACCATGTTTATAAGAGCATGTATATATAGAAATATGTTTTAACATTTTCAGAAAATCTAAGAAGCATAAAAAGAGTTATCCTTGAATAAAGGGCAGGGGTTGTAATCAGAGGTGAGGATTTAGTTTAATACTAAACTTGAATTTATTTTTTAAAAAATATTTTATTTGAGAAAGAGAGAGAGAAAGCATGAGTTGAGGGGGCAAAGGGAGAGGGAGAAGCAGACTCCCCACTGAGCCAGGATCCAGATGCGGGGCTCAATCCCAGGACCCTGAGATCATGACCTGAGCCAAAAGCAGCCGCTTAACCAGCTGAGACATACACATGCCCCTAAACTTGAATTTAAAAAGAAACAGGAGCAAATGCTACTTTTATAATTTTTTAAAGCTAGTTTTAAAAGGCTACTACCAACAGCACCTGGGTGGTCAGTCAGTTGGGCGTCTGACTCTTGGTTTGGGCTCAGGTCATGATCTCAACGTCAGGAGATCAAGCCCGGCTTTGGGCTCTGTGCTCAGTGGGGAGTTTGCTCAAGATTCTCTCCCTCGCTGCCCCTCCCTCCCTCCCCCTGTGCTTGTACACTCTCTTTAAAATAAATAAATAAGGTTGCCTGCATAGTTCAATCGGTTAAGCATCTGCCTTCAGCTCAGGTCATGATCTCAGGGTCCTAGGATTGAGTCCCACATCGGGCTTGCTGTTCAGCAAGGAATCTGCTTCTCCTGCTCACTCTCCCTCTCTCTCAAATAAATAGATAAAATCTTTTTAAAATTTTTAAAAATTAAAGGCTACTATCAATTTGGAATATGAACAATAGGCTAATAAAATAATTCTGGATCTAAGCTCTTCCCTGGAAAATCATCTACTTTTTCTATTCAAATTTCCCCTCCGTTTCACATTCTTCTCCATATATTCAATTCTCATTCTAGGCTTTTCCTTAACCTAAAAATCATCTCATCTTTAACCAAGTTATAGCCTATCCATTCTTAAAGGACCTACTACATGGGGCACCTGGGTGACTCAGTTGTTAAGTGTCTGTGTTCGGATCAGGTCATGATCCCAGGGTCCTGGGATTGAGGCCCACATCGGGCTCCCTGTTCATCAGCAAGCCTGCTTCTCCTTCTCCCATCCCCCTGCTTGTGTGCCTGCTCTCACTCTCTTTCTCCCTGTCACATAAACAAATAAAGTCTTTTAAAAAAAAGATTTAAAAAATAAAGGACCTACAACATACTTGTCTTAATTTTGGTGTCACAGAACCAGCATCTTGTTCATTGCTGTGCTCTAGTCTCTTCATGGAGATGGCCCTTCTCTCTTTAGGTTGTAGGCAAGGAATACTTATTTTATTTGTGTGTTCCAATACACTGACACAGTGATGGGATGCTTCCTGTTGATTTATAGCAGTCATTCTTGGTTTTTTGCAAATGCTAGATATAGTCCTCTGCCAACAATTGCCTTACAATACACACACTACTAATACCATCTTGAATTGCCTTGCACTGGAATTTATTTTCCATTCTCTTCTAGTGCTTTCATCAACAGATGTACATAGCACACTAAAACCATCCAATACCAGTCCAGGTGTTGAAAGTATGTTATGATCATTATTAGACTCTAAAAATCTCCACCCACCTCAGTTAGGCTCTCTACATTTGGAAAGACACCAACTTGGCAAAACATGGAACTTTATATATAGCACTCTCAAAATTAGACCTCCTTTATGAAGCGTCACTTATAAGGGTGACAACGAAAAAAATTTCTAACGTTAAAATGAACAATAATTACCCTTGCTTGAACCCTACTTACTGTCTCCCT